TTTTCGGGACGCCTTGGTATTTAGGAGAAACGGCTAGCTGCTGTCATGCAGGAGCCGCCTTAGCTTTGAAGAATCGTGGCCTGGGGTGGACTCAGCCTATTGGGTGACACTGAGCAGCAAGGAAAATACAAGCACTGTCCCTGCCACCTGACTTTCTTTCCATTCTGACTTAGTTAAGTCAGAGTTTTGGTATCCTGTAGTGGAGGAATGGAAGACAATAAAGTTTTGATGAAGACCTCGCCTCCCAGGGAGTCAGCCAGTGGACAATTTGCAGGCCTGTCAGGAGTTAGATTTCTTATTGTTAGGCAGAAAGGATTAGGTTTTCCAGAGGCAACTTGAAAAGCATCCTGTGATACTTGCCCCTCCCCCTTTTTGAAAGGGAATTCTTTCCTCCTTTCTAACTATGTGCTGCTTTCAGTTGATACACCTATGCTTTAAGGTATCCTGGCTGTCAGGAGGGCCATTTTCCAGCAGAAGCATTTCCCTTCATATTCTGTGTATGTCAGCTTGGCAGTAAAATTTACAGGGTTTGAATCAAAAGCAACATTGGTTCCTTCAGAGAAAAATGATCCCAGTCTGTCAAAATAAAAGCCAAACAGACTCTAATTGTTCTTTTTCCCATAAAGGGCTTGCCTTTTTGAAGGTGTGGGCAATTTTGATAGGTTACTTTTCTCTAACAGAGCTAGTGGATAGGAATTGCCTTTTTCCCCAGAGTGAAATCCATTTTCCAGTCTCATCTTAGAACAGACTTCAAAGTGTCTTGGAAAATAAATAGAACATTGGTTATCTCTCCATTCTCTAGTTCTGTTCCTCTCAGTTTACTTCTTGTGCGGTGTCTAATCTTAACTTTGCTTTTCCTATCACTTATGTTAACTTCAGAAAAAAATTTAACTTCAGTGTTTTTATTGACCCATCCATATGATTACAAGTGTATAAGTAAGTGCCAGCCAGGAGCTTAATTTGTTTTTAATCATTTCCGTGACATCTAGTTGTATAAAGTTTACGGTGTCAGGTAATACTTTAATCCTTATTCTCTGCATCAGTTCTTCCTATTCTGGGGGACTTGAAAGACATCACTGAATAATACTTGCATTTTTCCCCCTCCAATGACTAAGTCTTTTTCTTTTGTGTCTGTCTTTCCTTTCCCCAGTCTTACAGCCCCATGATTTGGCAACCCCAGTACAAGTAGCTCCAGTCACATGAGAACGAAGGCAAGAAAAGACCAGATGGCATCAAAAGATATGCCTTTCTGGGTCGTTAGTGGTTAGTTAAGTTTGCAATCTGATTACCAACAGGGTTACTACAGGGAAAGGATAGAGAACAGCACCATGACCAGGAAAGAATTTGCCTGCACTTCTTGTTCTAGAAGTTTGCTGGAGAGGAGGAACACATGAACAATGTGATTTAACTCCTTGCTCTTGGAAGGGTGGTGTACTTCTGTAAGTGGAACAGAAACACAAATGGAAACTATTTTTTAGGGAGGGGATTGTAAAACACGCGCTTCAGTTGCTGACTTTGAGTGCCACTATTGGCCCTTTGTTATTCTGTCTTCCAAATGCCTGTTTCACATGTCCAGAAACTGAGGGAATGACGCGCAGCTGCCATAGAACCACATCTTCCACAGGAGAGCAGACACCACCACTTACTCCTCTGCTTTGCACAAGCACCTGTTTGGGAGGACGTGTAGGGTGGCATCACTGGCCCCTGTGAAGCCAGGCTGCAGCTTAGAAATCGTTTACTTGACTGAAGAAACACTCAGTAGTGGGTAATGAAAGCTTCTGTTAAAAGAGGGAACTCTGTTTTCAGTTTGCATTTAGGCATTTTTAAAATCTGGACTTCCTTGGTGTGGGTAATTCCTGATTTATCAGTTAATAAATGTAAGTGATTTATTGAGGATTCTCTGCTGTACCTAGCAGAGATTTTGTTTTTTGGTTTTTGTGGTTTTTTTTTTTTGTCTTTTTGAGTCGGAGTCTCGGAGTCTCGCTATGCAATTCAGGCTGGCCTTGAGCTCACTTTGCAGCCCAGGCTGGTCTGGAACTCTCAAGGATCCTCCCACTTCAGCCTCCCAAGTGCTGGGATTACAGATTTGAGCCACCACGCCCGGCTCTAGCAGAGATTTTCTTTATTGAGTCCCAGGTCAAATTGCTCTCTCTTGAGTGAAAGAAATGAAGGTATTCTTAATGTTAGCCGTAAATTTAGTCCTGATAATAAATTTTGGTAAGTTTACTCTTAATTACCTGGAAAATCTTTGCTTTTTCCATAGCAGCATCTTTCAAGTCCAAAGTCAAGTTTTAATCTCTCTTATAAATCTGCCCCCTCTAATTGTAGTTTCTTCCTTTATTCAGTCTGATGCCCTTGATCCCTGTACAGCTCATTTCAGAGTGAACCAAACAAAACAAAAGAAGTTTAGGGTTCCCACTCAAGCAAGTGTCCAACAGTGCTGAGTACACAAAAGTCCAACTGAATAATTTTTTATTTTATTTTATTTTATTTTATTTTTGTCTTTTTCCTTTTTATCGGTACCGGGGATCGAACTCACGACTGCCTGCTTGCAAGGCAGGTGCTTATGTCGCTGAGCTAAAACCCCGGCCCTTAACTGAATAATTTTTTTAAAAACATTTTAATATTTCCATTTCAGTTTTACAAAACAGATTCACCCACTTTTCACTTTTTTTTTTTTTTTTTTTTTTTTTTTTTTGGTCTTTTTGAGACAGGATCTCATTATGCAGTTGAGACTGGCCTTGCGCTTACTTTGTAACTCAGGAACTCGCAATGGTCCGCCTGCCTCAGCCTCCTGAGTGCTGGGATTTCAGGTGTGTGCCGCCACACCCAGCTCCAACACTTTTCTTGATCTGAAACTATAGTAAGGAATTAGAAGTTTCGTAAACTGAAAATGTAAAAAGATAATTCCTGTATGTGTACTGAGTTTCTGGAGTTAAATACTTTCAATAAAAGCAACAAAGCTATTAAGGTAATTACTAGTTTTTATTGTTTTTGTCTTTTTGAGACAGGATTTCACTGTGCATTTCAGGCTACGTAGCCCAGGCAGGCCTTGAACTTAGGGCAATCCTTCCTTCTCAGCCTCCCATGAGTGCTGGGTTTACAGGCTTTGTGTCACCGTACTTTTGATAACTTTTTTAGAAGACTGAATTCAGAGTAACTTTTTTACTTATATGCCACAATAATCCTAATTTAAAAACACTTTCTATTACGTGGTTTTTGTTTTGTTGGTCTGCTTAAGACAATCTAATCATGTGGAATTCCTTTACCTAAGAGATTTTGATAGTATAGCAGAGGAGCAGAATGTTAAAAATCACCGGGTGTGGTACTGCATGCCTGTAATCTCAGCAGTCTGGGAGGCTGAGGCAGGAGGATTACAAATGTGAGCCCAATTTGAGCAATTTAGTGTGAGACCTTGACTCAGCATAAAAAATAAAATTCAAATGTAGGTCAGTGTGAAAGCCTTGGAGTCAATCCCCAGTGCATAAAAATAAAAAAATTTTAAAAACCCAAACAAAAAAATGCATTTATACCAGCTGCTAGTTTAGAAATGATAAAAAAAAATTCCTTATCACAAATATGTCAGGTTTCAGCCTGCCCTATTATTTAGACTTGAGATGAGCTTAGGTGCTCTGGAGAGGAAATTCAAATGTACTTTTTACTGTAGCTGGGGTAGTGGTTGCTAAAGAATTGTGACGACTCATTAGCCGAACCTCTAGCCTCACTACCTTTAGTCATTACTGCAGTGTAGTTGGCTGTTTGGCACCTTCCCCTAACCCTTTTGCAAAATGGTAGGACTTGAGCATTTCACTTGACATTATTTCTCATATATTAAGACAGAGAAAGCCATAGTTTGGTGAGTGAGCGAATGAAAGTGTTTTGGTCTTCTTTGAGCAGAAAATGGAGGGTGTCTTCCTTATGTCGATGGTTACCAGAAGTTCAACTGAACCTACGTTACAGCTTTTAAAGAGTTAGAGTACTCTAATTATGAATACATATGTGTTTTTCCTTTTTAGATCTACTGTAACTGCTAATTACTGTTACACCTTAGGAAGCACCACATCAAAGACAGAGACTGGTATTGTTTTAGGATGAAATTATGTACTCAGAAACTCACTATCATCACCATGATCAGTTCATTTTAGAGCACAGAAAAGGCAAATCCCTGAGACTTTTTGCTAGCATTTCCAAGAATAATTTTCCCTAACTCTTCCACAAGATGGGTGGGATAGACAGTGCAGTGACTTTCAGTAAAGAACTGTTATCCTTGTGAAGAAAACTCGAGGCAAGTAATGAGAGATGGTGTAAGAGAGAGGAAGAAATACAAAGTAAGTTAGAGTTGGTATACTTAGATAGGAAGCAGACTATTTTATCATTTCAGTAACTAGAATTAACCAGAGATTATGTATTTGTCTTAATCCTGGCTAGTCAAAGAATTTTGTTGTTTCTGTTGTGTCAGGTCACATGAATTTGCCATTTTTGTGGGAAATAGTTGAAGATCAGGAAGTTCACCTAATACATAATAAGAATAGGTAACACTGTAGAATGGTGGCATTTGCAGAAAGGTAGTGATGTGTATATGTGTGTGCATATGTAATTAAAAGGCTGCAGAAATGGAAACTTGTGAATATTTTATACTTCCTTAAGGTGCTGAAATTCCCTATTCTAGCCTGTGGTTTAACACATTCAGAATCGATTATAATTGCTCCATAGTGTTTTTGCACTTCCATAGTAATATAGTTGAGACAGTCTGTAGGGTGGACTGAAAAATAAACTACCTCTGTGGATTACCACCAGGAATAATAATTTGAAGTGACTAACTTGTAGGACACCACAGAGATACCCCTCCCCCTCACACACACAGTTGCAGATACTTCAGAGAATTGGGGCTGCAGCAGGGTTACAGACTGAGCAAATGCAAGTCACTGCCCTAAAGTAGGTTTTTGGTTTTAGAGTGAAAGATCCAGGCTGTGCTGACTTGCCTGTCTGTTCTCTCTTAGGCGAGCTCATCTGCGTCTGTGTTTAGAACGCTTGAAAGTTCTGATTCCTCTAGGACCAGACTGTACCAGGCACACAACGCTTGGTTTGCTCAACAAAGCCAAAGCACATATCAAGGTGAGCATTTTTACTTGCACATTTGTGTGTGAGTCTCTGGATCCCTGTTCATGTATATCAGCTAGCTCACTATACCCTTCTTCTAATTGATATCAAGAGAAATATTTCTAAAAACCAGCTAATCTGATGGAAGCAACATGAACTGATTAGACTAAATTATTTTGACAGTGTGGCCATTTGAAAACTCAAGAATGCTAGGAAAATAACAATTACCCTTGTAATAGCCAGGAAGGAGGCAGCTGTGCCCTCTGGTGGGGATGGCTTCACTTGGCTGTGTCCCTCAGTACTTTTCCATCAAATACCACACTGCAGAGGAAGTCTCTCCTTCATGGAGATTGTTTTACAGACTTCTTATTCAAGTAATGTAGCAGTCATACACACAAAAAAGTAAAAACAGGACTATTTTTGAGGTTTAAAAAAGTACTCCTGTATTTTTGTATATGAGACACATTTTCTGTGCCAGGGTATTTTAAGAATCAGATAGAAATGTTTTAATACTTTAAAATGTGACTATACAGATGTAAATATCATTCCATCATTTTAGAAACTTGAAGAAGCTGAAAGGAAGAGCCAGCACCAGCTTGAGAACTTGGAACGAGAACAGAGATTTTTAAAGCGACGACTAGAACAGCTGCAGGGTCCTCAAGAGATGGAACGAATACGAATGGACAGCATTGGATCAACTATTTCTTCAGATCGTTCTGACTCAGAGCGAGGTAGGCAGTGTGTCTCCAGGGAATGCTAAACATCTCTATCTGGGTTCAGGCAGGGCAGGTTGGCAGGCACACTGTTTGCTTTTAGTAGATCCTGTGACAGTCTTGTGTTTTATGCACTCACATTGTCTTCCAGTGCCTGTGTGAATTACTTATCTTCTTGAATATATTTTATATATGTTGACCTTTTAAAGCCAATATATTTGATTGATTTGAAATTTTAGCATAGTGGTACACACTTGAAATCCCAACTGCTGGGGGGAGGCTAAGGCAGGAGGATGACAAGTTCCAGGTTAGACTGGACAACTTAGCAAGATCCTGTCTCAAAATTTAAAAAATAAGGCTGGGGCTATAGTGGTAGGTAGAATGCTTCCCAGCATGCATGAAGCCATGGGTTCAATTTCCAGTGTAGGTGCCTGGTTATACTAGTTTACCCACTAATATCCTTTGTCCGGTCTAGGATCCCATGCAAAATCCCTCATTTGATCCTTTTTTTATGACCATAAAATTTATTGGCCTTTTTATATAGTGTTCCCCATTTGGATTAGTCTCATGTTTTAAAATGATTAGATTTGAAGATACATGTTTGGAGTAACAAATACCACAGAAATCAGGTTGTGCCCTACAATTCACTGTGTCAGGAAGATACACTGCTGACCATTAATGGAGATAATGTATGCCTTTAAGTACCACATCCTTAATTTCTCTTTATACCTGCTGCAGACATTCATCTTTGGCAAAATTAAAGACACCTCCCCCCAAAAAAAGGTCTGAATTCTACTGATCGCCTCTTCTAAAGGATCAGCCCACCTCAGGCCTTACACCACAATAAAAGATCCTAGAGTTGAACAGTGATGACTTCTTTAAGTCTTAAATTTGAGAAAGTAAAACTAACTAGATTTTGAGGACTTAAGTGCCACTAAGCCTTTTTTTTTCCCTGAAAGGCTGATTTGTTTTGCTTTGCTTTTTAAATGGAAATGTTCAAACATACTCAGAAATAGATTAACTCTCATATACCCATCATTCAGTTTTAATAAACTGCTAACAATCTTTCATCTAAGTCAGATCTGAAACTTCAGGTTTGAAGTTTGTCTGTTTTAAGATGATTTAAAAGTCCTAAGTTTTCATTATAGTTCTTAAGGGAAAAAAGCAATTTTAAACTGTTTTAAAAATATTATTCAATAGTATTGGTTTTAGTATTTAACAAGATGTGATAGCTGGGGTCACATACGTATTTAAGCATTTGTTTGGTTTTTAATGCTAAATCTCACCACCATAGTGCTTTTACACTAAGTCCTTATATATCTCACTATATAATCTAGAAACTAAACCTCAAGCTCTTATTTCAAGTATTAGGGACCTCGAGATACAGCTCAGTAACAGAGCACTTGTCTAGCATGTATGAGGTCCTGAGTTCTATTCTCAGCCTCATAAAAATGTCAGACTTAAAGCTGTATTTGATGCAAGGAAATTGAATTATAAGACAGACTTCTCAAAATCTACTTTGCAACGATTCCTTATTTTAGTTACTGAATAAAAATTTTTAGGATAAATTATAAAAATCTGTAAATCTATGGAGATACCATAGGTCTTGATGGACATGTTTTGTAGTTTGCCTGTTTTTAAGTTTATGCTTTCTTTTCCTCCTTTGAAGCAAGCCTGATTAGTAAACAACACTGAGAATTAGTTTCTAGCTTAATACAAAACAGATGTTACATGTTGAGATCTTTTAATATTAAGTACTAATTCCCAAATAGACCGAGTGCTTTTAGAGAGAGGTCCAGACAGACTGGCGTCAAAGGATTTTAGTAAACTTGCTGCCTAAATTAAGAGCATGGTATAGCAGACATTCTTCAGTGGAGAAAATATTTCTCTCTTCACTTTGTTTGTCTGTTCTCCAGAGATCACTGGTAATATGCTTGTTGTATAAAATTTCACACTTTTATTCTCATGTCTTTTTATTTTTGAAGGGGCATGTATAGATTATTAATGATTTTTCTCGCCTTTTCTTTTGACAGAGGAGATTGAAGTGGATGTTGAAAGCACAGAGTTCTCCCATGGAGAAGTGGACAATATAAGTACCACCAGCATCAGTGATATTGATGACCACAGCAGCCTGCAGAGTATTGGGAGTGATGAGGGTTATTCCAGTGCCAGTGTCAAACTTTCATTCACTTCCTAGAACCCAGCATGACATAACATTGCAGGGCAAAATATTTACTGGGCCAATACAATACAATCTCTTAAATTGGGTTCATGTTGCAGTCTCCTCTTTAACTTGAACAAGGTTGAAAGACTTGTATTTAAGCTAATACTTAGCAAAAAGTGGGGTAGAGCCTCCCCAGCAGAACAAACATTCAGAATATTCATACTCGAAAAAATCTAATTTCTCAAGGCAGCAGCAAAGGAAATTACCTTGATTTGATTTAGTTGGTTTAAAAGAGGACATTGGAGAGTACGGACTCTTTGTAGTTTGTTCATACTACATTGAGTAGACACATTCAAAGATGGGGTTATGAACCCTTCCCGAGCTTTATGGCCCTAGAAACAAAATCAAATCTATAGTGAGGAAGACTAGATAATCAGGCAGTAAACTTGCGTAGCTAAAGAGCTATTAAAACACAGCCTGGGACAACTTATCATGAAGCCTGTGGATGATCAGTTCTTTTTTAGAAAACTCATTTCATGCTCTACAAAAGGAGAGACTCCCAAGAAGCCTTTAAAGGGATCATCATGCAGCTCAGCTTTCTGTTGGATTCCATGCTAAGCAAGTTGACCTTATCCTGCATTGTTAGCACTAGGGCACCCAACCGCAGCCACACCTAGTGACCTCTCACACAGGCCAAGTGTGGATGAGGGGCAAGAAGGAAAAAGCTCTACGTGCCTCAATCTGCGTGTCAGAAGAGTTGTGCATGCAGATTAGCAGGCCAAGGTCTGAGCCATGGCAGCATTTTTATTTGAGATTTTGATAACTTTATATGTGTTGAAAACCAAAATGACATCTTTTTAAAGCTTGTCCATAAGTAAACATAGATGTCTTTTATAGTGGAAAAACATTGGGAAAAATCTATTTTGATGCAGCATTTGATAATAACACCTCACTCTTTATAGTGCACAAAATGAATGAGGTCTGGGCTAGGTAGAAAAATGGTCAATGCTGTTTTTGTTTTTAGAATCATTACCCTTACCAGCTTATAACCATCTGGTACCCACAGTAGATACATTATCATAGTTAACATAGTTCAGTTCAGCACTTACTCATTTCATTGTAAAGATTTGCTTCCATTTTCTACAGTCTCGTCTCACAGTCCCACTGTGCAGGTGCTATTGTTGCTCTTCTATTTTCAGAAATGTCATTTTCTTCTAAGTGAACTTCCTAGCCTGCACTTTGATGTCATCTGCTCCACTGTCTCAAACACCAAGGTCCCCCTGGTCCTCTCCCTTATTCCAGAAGGCCTTCCTAGGGACCTAACCTCCCCACATCCTGTTTGGACTTTGTATACTTTAAATAATTTAACTGCCCTTAATTACTTAAAAAAAAGCTTTATGATTTTCATAACTTATTGCTGATTTTAATGGGTTGTTAATTTCAGTCCTGTAGTTTTATTTTGTGTTTAGATAGGGCTGGGCAAGAAATAAAGAACCATATTTAGCAGTGCAGCCGAGTTGTGTGTTAATGTTAGATTCTCCTTTGTGAGCAGCATTTTCACAGCCTTCAGTGCTTCTATATATGAAGTAGCCAGTTTTGGTCACACATAAGGCCTCAGCATATGTATGCACTTGTTCTTGTGCTCCTCCTCCAGAAGTATTTTTTTCGTTTATGCTATTTGGACAAATTCTTTAAAGCAGATGTGTGTGAAACACTGCATTTCTTTAGAAACAACTGGTGGAACTTCCTACACTTTAGGTGCTGGGACTTAATGGAAAACATGACAAAACAAATTCATTCCTGTGGCCCTGGGAAATTATTTCTTTTAATTTATAATTATCCCTTGCTAGGTCAAGATGTTGTACTATGTATTTTATTTGCTTACTTTTGACTTTGCCAAGTGAGAGTTTAAAGAGCATGTGCCCTACCATGGAAAGTAAATTGAAGTCAGTGACTAAGATTCTATGTTGTGGTTCCCACAGCATTCACTGGCATTTTACATACAGCAGGAACACACCACATGAGACACGCCTGAGGTGCTGCGTGTTGTCTTGTCTGTGTAGGATGGTGGGCTGGGAAGCCTTCCTCCCATACTTCCAGTACAGATGCTAGCTGCTCTCTACTCTCCCCTTTCCCTGGGTTTGTTTTCCTCGTGGGAAGGCAAGGGTAAACTGGATGGAAAAGGTATTTTTTTTAAAAAAACAAACTGAAGACATAACTGCAAGAAATAAAAATTGTGAATAAAGAACACCTGAGTTAATTTTTGTACCACCCTTCTCCATGAAGGTAAAAATATGGATGAGTCCACACCTTCAGGCAACTACCTCCTAAGTGTCTATAGATACATCAGAAGGCCAGAATTAATGGCAATTTGAAGTATAATTACTATTCTAAAATTTAAACAGGTGCCTAATATCTAACTGATTATGGTTTAATGTATTGTACTGATAACTGCTTGGAATTAACAAGCATGTCACACTACCTGATCTCATTAGGGGGTCCATTTGGTTGCACTGTTAGTACAAAGTGAAAACAACAGTTCTCATTGAGCCCCCACTAACCTTATTTTAGGGTACTCCTTTAGTAAAATGTCTGATGTTAGATATATTAAGAGGTAGAGGTAAGTTATACTACTGTACTAGCAGAGGATTCTGATGAAGTCACTCTGGTTAGCACATGTGTGAGAACTCATTTTTTAAAAATGTCTTTGTAGGCCCCATGACAATACCTGTTTTTAGAATTATGAAAGAATGTTAAAGCAATGTTGAGACAAAGCTCCTACTCTTGTGGTCATACTGCCTCTTAATTCATATTTCCCAGAGCAACTCTTTAGCCTTCTAGGAATTTTGTTTCCACCAGCAGAAGCCATTGCCCCAAACCAAAGTCAGATTCCAGTGCATCTACCAAAAATAATGTGGGAAAACCAAAGACTCAAATTCAATTTTCATTTGGTAGGTCCTGAGCAACTGGTTTCTTCATGAAACTTGTTTCCTCCTGATAAATGGTTACACATACTACCACCTCCATCTTGAAATGTAATGCACAGTACACATAAATTGCTCCCATCTCCCAAATCTTTGTGTACTAATAAAAGGGATTAAGAGATCTATACCTTATTTTTTCTCTAATAAGATACAACCTTCTAATTTCACCCTTAATCTCGAATTACAATCTTGCTTCTAAATTTTAAGAAAACATACATTTCTTAAATATTAGCTCATATTAGTAACATTTCATGGCAAGTACTACTTTATAATTTTTTCCTCCTTCCTCCCTTGAACTAGGATTGAATCCAGGCCCTTCTAACTGAGCTCACATCCCACTTTTTAAAAAGACAGAATCTCATTGAGTCAAGCTGCCTTGAACTTGCCATCTTTCTACCACCATGTCTGGACTCATGGGCTAAAATAGTCGTCCTGCTTCAGCCTCCCAAGAGCTAAGATTACAGGCATGACTCAAACTGACCACCTATAAAATTGTACAAGGCTATATAAGAACAATGTACTGGATGGAAAAGGAAACTTTGGTGTGGATCAGTATCTGATTCTGTCAGCCAGGGAAATTCAAAGATAGGCGCTGACTGACCATTCACTTTGCCTTTCTTCAGAGTCACAAATTATGAAAAATAGCCCAAATGAAATATTTTTACAATACTGTCAACCAACATAACTGTGATTTGGAGATTTTTTTTCCCCGCATTTTCTTGATTTTTAGCTCTTTGCCATGGGAAATACTTAAAAAACCTTTATTGTTACGGGCATTTTATTTTAGATGTTCACACCTGGACACAGAACAGTACTATAATAAAGAACAAAAGCCATTGCATTATTACTAAAATGAATACTAAACAATATGGTACAAGATGTCAGTTGTTTGTGATTAAATGCTTTATCACACTTACTATAAAAGCTAAGTCACCTACACCTGACAGCACTTGTGGAGGAAAAGACTCCAGGCCAAAGAACTGAAAGGATACTTACTCCTTCCCGCTACTTCTGAGCAATGAACAACTGGTAATTACCATCTATTAAAGACTAGCCTAGCTGCAGATCTCAGGAGTCAACTCAAGTTTTCCCAGGATATGGAGTCAAGTGTTTGCACCAAGCCTGAATTCTTTGTTTCTTGGGTCAGAAATTCACTGCATCTTGCTAAGGTAAGTACAGGCTTGAAAGGGAAAAAAACAAAAGTTCATCAGTTTTACGGGAAAGAGAAAATGAGCTATCAAAACAATAACCATGATTTTGGGCCCCACACTGACAAAGTATCTCTTCAAACAAAAAGCCATCTGAACCTTTCCTGCTAATAGGATAAGCATGGCTCTTGTACCTGTACTCTTAAAGAAGACTAACTGGAAAAACAAATTACAATTTAAATAATTCCAGGGACTTAAAGTCTAGCATAGGCTCATAAAATGAAACAATGAGGAATATGGTTAACTGCCTGTTTTTACTGCCTGGAAAGATGGTTATCTAAAATCTGGTCATTCTATCTAGTTCAGCTGCTATGTACTACAGATATGCTCTCTTTATCCCTCCCATTCAAGGCCACAAAAGAACCACCTTTATATAATTAGCTAAAAAGGCAGAAAATGCAACTACAAAATCTCATAAATATAACACTATATGTCTTCTTTATTGCTTTTGCCTATGACAAAACAAATTCTTAAGACTGTCCCATCTGTAACACTGGTTTTTAAACCTCGTAAAAATGTATCTACACAGAAAAGTAAGCTTTTTTTAAAAAAAAAAAATGGTAGAATAAAGGGATTCAATTACTTGGGGCTTTTTGTTTCTTGAAACTACAAAATTACCTGTTATATTGCCTGCTATGCTCTTCCTCTCCAGTGCAGTAAAAATTCAGTTAACTTGCAACTCAAAAATCCTAGATACAAAGAATGTTTACATTTACTGTTGAATTTGTAAATGATTTACACGGTCTGCTTCATAGTATAAGTAACACAATTCACATGTTTACTGAACCCTTTTAAGATTTTAATAAATATAAAACCTTACTAGTTTGAACAGATTTCCTTCTTTCCATATTTCAGTACTCAAATTAGGCACAAAGCCAAGTTAAGTAAGCTTTTATTTTTGGCTGAGTTTACAACTGGTATTTTTCGCCTTGTGAAAAGGTCTTGTTTTAGTTATAAAATTATAATCTACTGATACATTCAGGTCACAAAAAAATAAAACTTTTCTTTACCTGAAAGTTTCTTTTGCTCTTTTCAAAGCAGACACACCCAATACTAAAACCACAAACTGGAAATACAGACATACATATAATCATTCACTATGACAAAAACAAGCATTTTTTAAAAATGAATTAACAACTTTAACTGATGCACTTTGATTTAATGCCTAGTCTTCATAATTAGGCTAAAAAAACTGCCACTATAGATACTTTTCACTTCAAAAGTCAAAGGCCTTTCACATTTAACCTAAAACGTGGTGCTCAGCTCATGATGCACATCAGAACTGGTTTTAGAGTTTGTCAAAGCATACCCTGGCTTGGATAAGTCTGGAATAGGACCTAGGTCTAGGACCTCTGATTTTATAAGCATTAGGGATTTTTTTTTTATAATCTTCATTCTCTTCCCATTAAGAAATAATGCACTACTGTGAAAATTAAAAATGTGAACTATCGTTCACATTAAAAAAAGATCATGAATTCACCATTGCCACTTCTCAGTAAAAGGAAGGTGCTCCTATGTTGCCTACCATATGTCAAATATTGTAGCCCTTTACAAGTACTAACTTATCCCTTAAAATCTAGAGAAACAGCTATTCTTTTCATTCTATGGTAGATGAAAATGAGGTAGAAGACTCATATTAGCTAATAAAAAGCGGATCCAAGATTCAAACAGCATTCTGATTTTAGAATCCTTGTCTTCCAATATGCTTTCTGGTCTCTATGTTAACTAGAATAGCACTTGTCTGTGATACTATTAGATTTCTGTTCACTACTACTTATGGTTAGAACAACCAAAGAATGCCAAGCTTTGAGAAGATACACGAAAACCATGGTACTTAGGAGTCATGAATTACCTTTGCTGGTAAAACACTACAAGTATTACGTTTTTCACTAAGCATCTTCTCAACTTCAGTATTAAACCATAACAAATTCTACCTCCCTCAGATCCTAACATTCAGTTAACCCAGAGACTTCATCCTGACACTAGCACTCCAAAGGGTCACATCTACCAAAAGGTCTACATCTCTGACACAAAAGCTCCTGATCTCACATGCTTCCTAAATTTTTGTTTTGTACGGTACAAGTTTCTTTAATTTTTTTTGCTACTACAAAGGTCTCCAGTAAAATTAACATGCAGAAAAGAAGGCCCATGGAGTCAAAGGAGGGCTGTCTTAGTTACAGCAGTTTTGCCTATTCATACATCAGGTAACTACCCTGAAAAATATACTAACGCAACACAATAAAAGCCATTTTATGCACAATTACACTAAACTTGCTAATGTTTTCATTCAAAGGATTCTCTTGTAACCCTTCAAGACTGCTACGATTACAATAGTTACAAGATAAACAGCATACTTCAAAGTTTTTAATTCAAAAGTTTTCAGGTTTTAGGTAGTCCTTTTTCTATTATAATCTCTGATTTTTGTTCTATGTGTTTAGGAAGAAAAGTTGTGATCTCCTGGGCCAGGAGGAGGTGAAAGGAAAAGGGAAAGAAATAATTCCATTTATTACCACTGTCCTAAAGTTTCAATTTATACACAAAAAATTAAAATTCATAAAATTAAAAAATTTCTCTTTTCAGCAAAAGTTTACAAACACTGATACACAGCAGAGACTTTAAAAATAACTAGTTGGTCAGATATCTGATTTCTTATATTTAATGGAAGGAATACTTAAGGATTTATTGAAACCTTTATCATATAATACTCTTCCATTGCAATTTTGTGCAAGTTCAAGGTTCAATCACTATACCAAAACTGGCAGCTAAAGATTTCAGCCTTTTTGTAACACGCCCTGGAGATTTTAAAAACACTTTATTTAATAAAAGTTAAACATACAAAACTGAAATTAACACACATCCTAAAAATCATCTTCCATTGATAGGAAGACCCTTTTCTATATAAGTATTTGGCTTAAACTCAACTTCGGATAACTGTGATGTTCACACCAACAAATGCTGGCAACTTGATCTAGTTAATTAAAATTATAAACTCAGCTACATGAACATAATATACAGGGCAATTATGGTAAGATTAATGCACAAGAAATACAAGAAATTTTTAATGATGAAACATTCAGTACTCTTGTTCATTAATTTAGCCTTGGTTTTTTACAAAAATAGTATCTACACTGTATACAGGGCTATACATCAGCTTTTTGTTTTCTGATACAAACATTACATGTCCAAAAAAAACAGTACCACTACTGTAAATTAAAGGGAAAAGCAAACATACAAAAACAAATGAATTCACAAAACACCAAACGAAAACACCATCCTAAACATGTTTTTCTACATAAAATCAAATGAATAAAAACAAAAGCTAACTCAATTTTAGAGATGGCCTAATTGGCTTAGGAAACAAGTTACTAAAGGAAATATCTCAAAACAAACTGCCATTATAAAATAACCCATCTTTAGGTTTACCTTGACAGTAGCTAGGTTTTAAAGTTGAAAACAAAAAAAAGATCTCTAACAAGAGGTTGGTGTTTTGCCTTCATGTTCCAATGAATTGTGTGTCAAATTCCAAGTTACAACTGTAAGTGGGAACTTGGTTTTAGTATATCAATTCCTCTGAGTGCCAAATGAAGCAGCTTCTATCTAGAAAAGTTGTCTTATTTAATAAACTGAAGGAACTATGGTAGGAATAATGAAAAGTTAAATGAATAAGTTTATCAAATGCAATTTCTTCAAGTTTCATTCTATTGACAACAATGGTATCTTCCTTACTCACCTAGCAAATAATTTACCTTTAGAAAAATATAAGGATAAAAAGGTAAATGTAAAGCCCTGCAGAGATGAAATCCAACAGTTTTTCTGATTATTGAGGCATCAAATGCCTCACATTGTATTTAGAAGTATCTTGATACTGTGTCATAGGTTTATCAGCAATTCCACAAGTTCCTACTCCAACTTTGCCAGTTACACTTTCAGGTGAAGCAAAAATACTCCTCTTTACCTAGGGAAAAGAAAACAAGTCATTCTTAATTAGTTTTAGAAAAATTCTAGTGTCAGCTTTTGTTTGCTTATGGTCAAAAATGAGTAGTGAAACAGTTTGGAGCTGGAAGAAGCCATTTACTTACAAGTTAATATTCATAACACTCACTATTCAAAGACCTAAACATTTTAGTTTTGTAATTCAAATCACAGTTTATGCTGTGAGCTATCTATTTTGGCATGACAACTCTATTTGTATTCAAGTTTGTGGTGAGGCATGTTGTGACGTTTAAATCGTGTAGACCCTTGCCGTTTGTTAAATCATAAACTAAATATTGTTAGGAATGGGATGCACTAGTTTCCATGTCTACCAGTGAGGCATCATCTTGAAATAAAGGGAAATAAGATATGAGTGAAAGCCCTTTTTAACTTATATGAATGCTATAGTTATCCCAGAGAAGTTCATCAAGGAAATTTCAAAGTTCTTTTAAATAAAATCTACCAGTGATGCTTATAAAGGCATATAAATTAAACACCGTTCAATAAATTGCCTTGAAGTGATCTATAAGGTAACAAAATAATTTTTCACTTTTCTGTAATTCCTAATTTGTAATGTCTGCAGAGACAATAGTCATAAATGATCCAATAAGCCAAACTGAGGACTGATTTAAGAACTGGTTATTCACATAGTTTTGAAAATTTAAGAACTTCCTTTTTAATTATAGCTAAGTAATTTTAATTATAAAATTCTTTTAATGATAATTCTATTTTTAGGTACGAAAAGTGTGATGAAGAGATTTACCAACCTGGCCTTTTTTATTTTTAGAATAGGCTCTGTTGTTGAATTGCTGCCATTTAACCTTCTGGTCTTCTCTTTCTTGCTCAAGTTCTTTTATTCTTTGTGCTTTTTTCAAAGCTTTCTTCTTTTTATATTCACGCTGTTGGGCAATCATTTCTTTTCTATGTGAAAAACAAAGCTAAATGTCAACTCTTAAAATTTAAAAGATTAACTTCTTTGTGGACCTTAGCAATGCAGAAAAAAATCCAATAAACATACCCTCTTCTGTCCATGAATAGAAGCCCTCGTCATTAACATCACTACCAATACCTAGCACTATTAAGAAATGTACGTATTTGGGGGCTGGAGATTTAACTCAGTGGCATAAGCGCCTGCCTTGCAAGCAGGCAGTCGCGAGTTTGATCCGCGGTACCCATAAAAAGGAAAAGGCAAAAAAAAAAAAAAAAGGAAAGAAAAAGAAAAAGAAATGTACGTATTTTTAAAACAATATATAGTGTCACTGGACATTGTATGTTGCTTTCAAACAATCTATTACATAAATCAAAATTTTCAACTGTAACTTACTTGATTTTATAACTTTTACTAGCTGTGTTTTAAAAACTTTTACTAGCTAAATATTAACAGTAACCACTAAAGAGTTTACCCAGATGTCACTTCGGCAGTGTGTTTACATACCAACTATACTGAGTGCTGCTTGTGTAGGTGGCATTTCAGCCAAGTCAATTCTTGTATTGATAAACTGTTGCTTTTATATTTCCTGTTATATTAGCTTATAAAAATTAATGAAAAAATACAATTTTGGTCATACTGTACCTAAATAATTGGACTGATAAGTGGTTAATGGCTGGCTAACCCTTTACTACTTTTCAAATAGACATAATTAACTAGTGTAGGGGCTAGGGATTTAGCTCAGCGGCATAAGCACCTGCCTTGCAAGGTCGTGAGTTCGATCCCTGGTACCGTAAAAAAAAAAAAAAAAAAAAAAAACTAGTGTAAGTGCAGCATTTGAAGAGATTCAATGTACATAAAACTTTTTACCTCACCTGAAAGAAAAAAGCAACACACACACACAGAACCATAACTAACAATTCTTAAAACCACTAACTAATAAAAGGAAAAAAATCTGAGGGTTAAACGTGTGGCAGTACTTGTCTTTATAATCATAGGAGACTGAGGCAAAAGAATCTCAAGTTTGAAGCCAACATGAGCAACTCAGCAAGACCCTGTCTCAAAACATAATTTTAAAAAATGGGTTGCCTAGCATGCACAAGGCTCTGATTCAATTCCACCATTACAAAAACTATAATCGAAACAAAACCTGGAGTTTCCAAAAGTTCTAAAAAAACTAAAAACAGGATCAGAGCCTGAGACTACCAAATCTGCTGGGTTAATATCAAGGAATAAAAAATGAAGAGATCTTTATCTTTAAGACAGGGGAAGTCTAGGTGCCCCTGTACATCACCACCATGAATCTAAGCACAGCTTTTTACACAGAATCAAACGACTAGAACCAGAGATTAAACACTGTTTCACAATATCTCTACTGAAGATTTCATATGTTATTTGGAAGCTGTAAACTTCATTCCCACTCTCATTTCTTGGATTCAAGCTACCATTCATCTCATACGTGGGACTACAGCAATAGTTGCCTTTGACTGATTCTTCTTAAACTGTATTACATTATATTTACTTTACTTCAAAAAGTGCTTTATTACCTGGCTTCTACCTATCAAACCTCTTATCAAACTATCTACCTTCTAGCACCAAGTTTTTACCAAAGGAAATTATGTTACCTCTATGCCCCCACCCTTTATAAAGTACGAATTTAATGAGTCAGTACATGTAAAGAACTGTGCTACAAGCTTTATTAATGCTATCATTTAATTCCCAAGACCTAATAATTTAGGTTAACTGTTGCCTGTTTTACAGACAAGAGATGGTAAATAGTTTGTCCAAAGCAAACACGCACATTAATGAGAACTTCAGTTCCAGATATATACGCAGTCAATAACTTATAGTATTTTTACTTTGCTAACTTCTATTCTTCTGAAATCTCAGTTCAGATGTCATTTCCCCAAGGAAACTGCCCTAATAATTAGTTTCAGCATCTCTGTTGTTCCCTTTGAGTACCTGTTATATGAGAGGCAGCACTGAGGACTGAACCCAGACCTCTGCAGTGAGCTACATATCTTCAGCACTTTTTTATTTTGAGACAGTGTCTTAGTAAATTGCTAAGTTTCCCAACCTGGGCTCAAACTTGTTAAAATCTTGCCACAACTTCCTGAAGTGCTGGAATTACAGGCATGCGCCACCATGGCCAGCTATTACTAAAACATTTCTCTACTTATGTGTTTTTCTCTCTGGATATTTATTTCTGTAGGGAAAAGACTTATGTTCATCTTTATTGTGAAGATCCAGTAAGATCTGGCTTAAACAATATGGTAGGAAAATATTCTTAGTATACAGTATCTCATAGCTATTGAATACCTACCTGGGAACCAAAATGTCTCCATTTTACATAAGTGTACGTAGAGACCATGCTGCCCCTCTAGCACTAACCTTCACAACAATGATGAACAGAATTACAGCTTCCTCACCTCAGTCTAGCTTGCAAAGATTCTCTTGTAGACTACCTACTAGCAAATGGAGACCACCTAAAATATGAAAGTCAAAGCCACTTACTTTGACATGGGTTTGCTGCCACTGTCCTCCTTTGCCTTCCTTCCTTCTTCTACAGGCTTGAGGTTCAACAGTGGAGTCACTTCAGCATTGCCATAACCAGCAAAGGTGATTGCAGCGGTGCCGTTTTCCTCATCTATCTCCTCGATCTCCGCTTCGTAACACCTGTAAAGATATCATGGCTGTAAGCAGGTGAGTAAAGATTTAGTACTCAGCCTACAAGACTTACACTGCAGTGACTCAATTATTACATGTCTAAAATGAAACTTTTAAAATGGTTCTTTTGGCAAAAACAATATTAAAAAAGTGACTGAAGTTAGGTACCTGCTATTAAAAAAAGAAACCCTAATCAAAATACTGCCGAGAAAATCTTGTACTGTCCATCTAGTCAATGTGCTTTAATCTTTTTGAGAAGTGGCATTTTTACAGAAATGATTTTAGTGTGTGCACTTTACAGAAATCTCAAAATCAACAATTTACTTAATTTTTAACAAAAAAATTTAGAAAATACAGTGGTACCTCAGTCTACAAACTTCTATTTATGAACAATTTGGTTCACAAACAAAAGCATTTGGTAAAATTTTGCTTTTGTTTGTAAACTCTACATTGAGTGACAAATAAAACTGTGGCCATCTTTCCCACATAAACACAAACATGACCATTTTTTCCAGAGTTGTGGGACAAATTAAGTTTGTAAACGAAGGCACCACTATGTACATGCATTTCCCCCTCCTCTGAGGTCCAAGTCATTTTTCTCTACCAGTCTTCATCTAAAGCTAAAACTAAACTATATTACTAGTAATCACTCAAGAATTAAACTGGCTGTATCAACTACATACCTATAAAGAAAAACACTGTAGTTCAAACTGAATGAAAACATCTTACCATTGTATTTTATTATTTCATGTTATAGTTAGGGTTTTTTCTACACTTACTGTCCATCTTCACTCCAGATTGCCATACACTTGTCTCCTACTTTCCATGAATGAGTGGGCTGAGTAGAAGCAAAACTGTCGGAACTTGTAAGAGTTTCTGAAGGTTGAGTTGACAGAAGGTCTTTGGTTAATTCTATAACTTCCTAAAAGAGAATAACAAAAACCGTAACATTTTTTTAAATGCACACTGTCAACTTTAGACTGATGACAGGTCTTAAAACCACTTATTAAGTACTATTTCATGTATAGCTCATAACACTACTAGGAGAATATATCATTATCTCCATGTAGAAAAAGAGATACAATCTATTATACTAGTAAGCAGTGGAGCTGTCATTTAAGCCTATACAGATATCCTCAACCATGAAATACTAATGGAAATAAAGTAGACTGACGTTTATGCCATGCATTACTACTAAGTTCCTATTTTCTTCAAAGATGAGAAAATATGGAGGGACTGAATAGTTCAAGATCTCATTTATAATGTCACTATATTTCATGCAGCTATAGTACTGTTTTAGAGGGCATTATTTAGCAACAGTATTAACTGTCCAGCCAACATCCTCTCCACAAATCTTCAAACACCTGAAGTATCCTTATTAGTAAGCAAAATGTTCCTACTTCTACATCTCAAATAGTACCGGCATGTATAAAAGAAATTAGTAGTCTTCTTACTCATTCACTATGAACCTTACCTGAACTATAAAGCAAACTATCATTAGACTTAAAATATTCTATACTTTAATATTTAGTAAGCACATTAGCACAGCTTCATTTGAAAGGAAAAAATAATAAAAAGTAACAGGCAGGCAATGCCTCTCTGTGACAAATATTTCTCCTAAAGCAGGATTATATTAATCTGTTGGATTTGAATGTTAGAAATGGTTTAAAAACTTGTGAAACAGTACAAATTGGTAATATTTTGCTACTTATTTATTTTTACTCTATCGAAAATCTATACTATTTATATCTTATTTGATTCAAGAACTTGCATAGCTGCTCCCTCACACTGTTGAATTTAAAACATATTGTGTATATGGGAGGAAAAACTGGCAATATTAAACTTAGGTTCTTTTGGCTCAAACTGAGGTTTCATAATAGTAGCTCTGGTTCGGTAGCCAAGAAAGTTAAATATTACCTCTCTCCTGAAGATTCTAAATCTTCTGGCTACTTATGAAAAACTAGTATTTGGGCCTTAAAAAAAAAAAACAATATTAATCTACTGGAGAAAAGTCAGCTTTATGGGTTAATAAACTAGAAGACTTTTTTTTTTGTACTGAGGAACAAACACACAACCTTGCACTTGCCAGGCGGGCACTTATGCCACTGAACTAAATCCTTGGCCGCTAGAAGACTCATATTTGAATTCAAAAATTCAGGAGAGTAGTATTTCTAAATTTTGCCAAATAGCCATTTCTTTTTTTTTTTGTTGCCCTAAAGGGAGAATACAACTTTGTTTCTGAAGTGCTGGAGCTGTAAACAGACCTTTGCAAGCTTGGCAAGCACTCGACTAGGGTCACAGCCCAGCCCTCAAACACTTATCAATCAGTACTTTGCAAAAAAAAAAAGCAGGAAGTACAGACAATGTAGTATACAGAGGAAATGATCTAGTTTTCTTATTAGCCACTTTTAGAGCTGGGAATATAAGCCAGTAAGCCTGACTCAAGCGCCCACAAAATTCCATCATCAAATACTTCCACATCCTACTAAGGATTATTTAAATAAAGCACACGCACAAATTTCGGACTTGTAATCTTAGATTTAGAATTCCTTATAAGATAGGACATTTTTCTACTACCTTCATAAGAGAATATATTTCATTTTCACCAAAGAAAAGGGTCCTGAAAAGCTGTGCATATTACAAAGAATTTTCAGAGCTCTATGCTGAAATGACCTTTTTTTTAAAAATTAAAAAAAAAAAAAAGATTCAGAGCATCATTCCTACTGTTCTGTAATTCTGCCAAGGTTTTTACATACCCTCCCAGCAAAACTATGAAGAACCCTGTAATTTTTTTCTTCACATGTGCACATGGACCAAAGTATTAGAAAAACTATTTTACGTATGAGGGGGTTCTTAAAGGTACATACCATTAATTACTTTTCCTCCCCCAAGTCTGAGTTCTGAAACTGCTCCTTCATTGACAGATGGGCAGCAGTTACAGTAATCGGCAATTCCAGGAAGCATCAGGTGTTGTGATCTACATATCAGCAGGTCAAAGGGGGTGCATTCAAGCACTCTGCTTACTGAAGGAAGGCGTTTCGGGGATGCAGAGAGCCACTGTAATATATGAGACAAGTGACTTGACCCCTGCCTCCTTTAGAACCAGTTTATTTAGCAAAACAGCCTAATAAATTGACTTTTTTTTATCATCATAGACTGCCGGGGAGCTGATCGGTTAGCTAGCCTGGATTTTACTTTCCCTATTATTTCTTTAAAAAGGGGGTCGGGGGGAAGGTAGTTAGGACTTCTTCAATATGCTGCCTCCTGAGTAACTTTATTCTATATGAAACATAATACATAAAAGCAATAAACATAGGAACCTTACTGGAAAAACAGAAGCCAATGAAAAAAACTCAGGACATAGTATAATCAAAAAGCAAATATATTAATAACCAGGATAAGGACAGATTCCATAAGAAACCATATGATGATCCAAAAATATGGAACAAGAAAGCCACAAAATAAGTAATAAGTAACGTGAGCAGACTTTTCACCCAAACTAACAGGCAGAACTAAATGCCAATGGCACAAGATATATGCCAAAAAGAAGAAAAAACAGGGGGGCAGGGACACGAAGCAAAATACAATCTCTAACTGCAGTTTCAATAGAAACAACAATTACTAGGTGCACTCAAGATACCCAAATGTTTTTCAGAATTCCATCTACTATTGAAAAAATGCTTTTCACATTTGAGAAGTTTTCAGTTCAAAAACAGACCTCTATTTAGTAACTAGAGTCAAATTTTCCCCCTCATGATAGAGTAAGAGATAAACTAACCAAGAATTCTGCATTATCACTATCTGAGGTATTAGCACTGAAGCTTTCTGAGTTGGTAGCCTAATATGTAGCCATATTTAGCTGTCTAATTGAGTAAAATTAAAATTTCAATTTCTCACTTACTCTGGCTATACTTCAAATAGCCACAAATAAGGTTAGTGGCTGTGGCATTCAACAGCAGAAAAGAACATTTCCATCATTATAGAAAATTTCATTGGACAGTGTTGTTCTAAGTGATTAAAGCAAAGAGAATATTTATATATAAATGATTCTCAGGTCATTAACTGAACGCTAGCACCTTTTAGGTACTACTATACTGTCTTATTACAATAGTTTCTCCCTGTAACATTTTCCACTACAATCAGATTAAGACACTGTGCCTGGAATTTATTTTAGAAATACTAAAAGTACCAGATAATAATGCTATTTCAAACTCCACCCTCAACTCCACCTTACCAGTTGCATGTATATATCTCCCTCCCACTGCTAAGAAAGCATTATACACTATAAAACACTGGCATACGAAGTTTTTGTCAAAGGAAAAAAAAGGGCTGCTTTTAAGTTGACAAAGGGAGATAGGCCATCTCTCTGAGGTGAGAAGAAAGCTGGTTCCCAAGTAAGTCAGTTTGCCTTTGTCACTTCCCTTTTAGTACATGTTCACAGATGAAATGGAGCAAAAGTCAACTCCTGGGCATTTTTTATAAAAGGATTCAGACAGGAAGAATTTGTTCACAAAACACCCTTCTTTCTCTCACTGACAGGCACACTGAAATCCTCAGGCCTAGTTACTACATATTTTATGTTGGATCCTGTTCGAAATCTCAAGAGCTTTTAAAAATAACATACTATTGCAAATTTATCTTAAATCTAGAATTTGGAAATACTCAACTTGTCTTCAGCTATGCTCAGATAAGCCCATTCAGAATCCCAACTATAAACCTCACTTAAGTTTTGTTTGCAGTTGTAATATTCCTAAAACCTAAATGTTTTAATGGGCAACAGGATGATAAAGGGAAACATTATTTGGATAACATAAAGAAATTAGTAGAGAGACATCATCAAAACACCCTGGAAACTTAAAAATCTAGTTCAGAATTTTAAGTTCTCAAGATGAAAAATCATATATATAGGTAACATTCACAAGCTGTATGTGGTGTTATTCTTAACTCAGTGTCCTGAAAACAAGAGATACTTACAATCATGGCTCTGTCTTGAAACCCCGGCACAGTTTAGAAGTTTTATACTTACTCAAATCTCCATGACAAATAAGATATCCGTTTTACCACATCAACCCAACTTCAGCAAGGGCCAACATTTGCACTATAAAAACTCAGTCTTAACTTCAAATGACTATATAACATTAATACAGAAAAACATGTTTCTCTCTAGATGTTTTTGTTTTGTATTTTTCATACAAGGTATAGCCCACTAGCTTTGAACAGAAAGGCCACACTTTCACTTTCAATGAATCTTAATTAGGTTATATTTTTCTCCTTTAACTTTGAACTTACTTTCCCTTGCCAACTCTTGAAAAATAAAAATATGTTCACATAATAGTTTCTTCTTTTGAAATTTTGAGACTTTCAAAAATCAACTTTTTTTAAAATCCCAAGAGCACACCGTTTTGATAACTACAATGTTTCATTTGTTTTGCTACATACAAATTGGAAAAGCAACTGGTTTTCTACAAGCCTCACCCTTTATATACAGTTTTGGGCAGCCCACCTTCCTACAAGGGTACTTTAAGTACCTATGGATTCTAAACAATAAATCACTTGAAAAACATAACAATACTCTTTTTAAGCAATGTTAACTTCAACTGTCCATCTATACTTACTTGTAAATCTTTCTTCAATTTTAGCAAATCTTCATTTTCTCCATTTCCAGATAATGCAGCTTCTACTTGCTGCAGTTGAGCTTTGTAACTTGCCAGTTGCTTTGCTAGATCCTCTGACATCTGGGGGATATATAAAGGATAAGACTATGAAAATAGAGCTGAATATCAAATCATAAAAACTAATCTGCCTGAATTTACAAGTTTTGCTCCTACCTTATTAACACTGTAGCTTAATTCACCACTAGTTTTACTTTTACTTCAGACCTGAGCTAAACCACAAACTTCAAGACAACAGATTCTGCAGATCATAAATGTTTGATAAATTCAATATTAAAAGAAAATGCTTGAGATGTAAGGAAAAATTTTAGGGTTTTTTTTTTGGGGGGGGGTGTCTTTTTGAGGCAGGCTCTTCCTATGTAGTTCAGGCTGGCACTGAACTGACTTTGTAGCCCTGGCTCGTCTCAAACTCAACAATCCTCCTGCCTCAGCCTGCCGAATGCTGCGATTTTAATTAGTTACAGGTTAGGCAATGATCACAGTTTACTACACGTCGTTTAAGTAGTACCAGTCTGACAGCAGTCTCAAAACTTCAGAAAAACCACTTATTTTTAAGCATGACAGGATACATCCAAAGCGAAATAAAAATGGCTTTTAGTTAACTACACAAACATCATTCTTCACTTGAATTATTCAATTATGAGTATTCATAGCTCTCTAAAACAGAATCTTCCACCCAGTCACTTAAATACGTAGTTACAGATGTATTTTAAGCAACCACAAAATACTCTCCCATATAGGCATCCTAAGAAAAGTGCCTTTCACCAGTGTCACCGATAATCTGAAAATAAGCTACGCATTAATCCTTTTCTTGATAATTTCTAAGCAAACATACGGGACTTTCTAGATTCCGGAGAGCGCCTGGAATACAGACAGACTCTAAGGGTTAAAGCCAGCCAAGCTGCTCCCCTCTCAGGCACTCAGCACCTCAAAGCCCGCCACAACTCTGCCGATTGTTTCAGACCTAGAAGCTCAAACTCCCCGTCCAGGGGCACCGCCGGGGCCCTACCCCAACACACGATCTCGGCGGGACCCAACCCCCGCCCCGCACCGACCCCCGATGGCTGCTCCAGAACTGCCGTGTTCGCCGCCGCGGCCCACGGCCCATGGCCCCACTCTGGTGGGAGAGAGGGACGGGGGCCGCCGAACCACAGCGCCCGCGCCCAGACCTGTCTTACAAGGCAGGCTCGGTGGCCTGGGGCCTCCGCTTCAACCGGGGAACGACCAAGGCCCGGCGAGGCCTGCCTCTCCTACACCGAGTTTGTTACCTTGTGTGGGACTAGGGGTGGGGCGGCGGGAAGGGGTTGGGGCAAATGGGCCCAGTGGCGGCAGTGGTAGCAGAGCCAGCAACAGTAGGGGAAAAAAAATCTTCTCGAGGAGGCGATTCAGTCCGAAAAGGAAGAACTCTCTTAGCAGTGAGGGGGAGGGGAGGAATGCCGGGCGACGGAAAGAGGAAAAGACAAGGCAAATGAGGTATCGCGAGATACAAAAAATCGCGAGCCGCTTCCTAGGTCACGTGATTCGTGGCGCCTTTTGCGTGGCGTCGGGAGGGCGAAGTGGGCGGGGCCAAGCAGAAAGGAAATGGCGTAGATAGGGCGCGCCGGCCTAGTAACGCGGGTTCGTCGAAACTCCATTCCGACTTGGAGCCGGGAGCGTGTGGGTAGCTGTTGGTGAGGCGCGCGTATGCGGTCGTGGATGGAACAAGATTCGATGCAGCCATTATGCTAGTGAATTTCAAAGTATAGTCCTCGAATCTGCCTCATTTACGTCACCTGAGAATTTAGTGGCTATGTATTATTAAGTCAGGTCCCAGATTTCAAAGATCCAGAAACTCTAGGAGTAGGCTTTACAGTCTTTTTTTTCTACCAGCTTTTTATTTAGCGTAACTGGTGTCCAGTTACGCTAGAGAACCTCTGCTCGACACAGTAAACGTCTTGGTAGCAAAAGAAAACAGTCGTAGCCGAAATTATTAGAGACTGATCTTGTTACTACAGTACTTGGTTTTAACTAAGTTGATTAGGTAAATCTCAACCTAACGGGGAACAGTTTCCAACTTAATAGTCTTGAATAATAAGCAGAGTATTTGAATACTTGCATTTACATTAGAAAATGCTCATGAAATATGTAATAGTACAATATGTACAGGTTTTATATGGATGTACAGAGCTGTCGAGAGGTTTGAATGCAGGCCAAACCCCTCCGTCGCCCACCTCTTTCCCCTACAAGCATCTCTCAAATATCACATGTTGCTGCTTGTACTGTGATTTTGGTAATACAATTTTGAGAGGTTGGAGATGTAGTTCAGTAGCAGAGTTCTCATCTGCTAGGTTCGTGGACCTGGGTTTAATCTCCAGCACTGAAAAAAAAAAAAAACAGCTTAAAAACTCCCCTCAAAACAAAAGTGGAATTTAAAAAACAAAGTGTAAAACCAAAACCTCATGTTAAATTTGAATCAGAATCTTTTTAGGAAGTCAGTCCTGGGGAATAAACCTAAGATCCTCCAACTGAGCTCTTTATGCAGTCTTTTTGCTTTTGGGCACAAGATCTAGCTAAGTTTAACAGGCTAGTCTGAAACTTGTAATCTTCATAACTTAGCCTTCCAGTGTACTTGGATTGAACCAGGGATTTAGCTCAGCAGCATAAGCGTCTGCGTGGCAAGCATGAATTTGATCCCTGGTACAAAAAAAAAAAAAAATTACCTCAGAGTACTTGGATTATAGGAGGCATGTGCTACCGCACTCAGAATTATGTAAGTATATATTTCTTAGAAATAATGTTATCCCATTAGAGGTTGCCCATATTTTAGTAGTTAGCTACCATCCCCCACTAAAAAGGAAATGATATGTCTTAGAAAAATGTGTGATTGTAGATCACAGGCCCAGAAAGTACAAAAGTGCAAGTTTGAGGCTAAAACACCTTTCAGAAAACAAGGAAATATCCCAAAACGAATAGGAAGTTAAAGTTAGGGAACCCTACTGGAAATACACGAATTTATTTGGCCACTTTTCTTCAATTAAAAGAAGTAATAACTATAATAGATTATCAAGCCACTGAATGCACTTTTTAAAATTCAGGGTGATAGTCAAAATGAATCATGGGGAAGAGACTTTTTCTTTGTAGAAAAATAAATGTAGCCAAGAAAGGTAAATAGAATGATAGAATTGCAAAGTTCACCATTTGCAATTCCAAATGATTCAAGCAAGGATCATTGTATTAGGATACTAGAGAAACATGTAACACAAGATACACAAATTATAAGAAATTACAAGATTGGTTTACCATGGTCAGCCACAAAGTTGGATGAGGAAGCATGCAGAGGGTGTCTGCAAGCTGAAGGCCAAAGGATTCAATCCAAGGTCTGAGGTTCACTGCAGTGTCCTGTGCAAGGCCACACCAGCAGGCTGCTGAATCTGCGACAGAAGGCTGAAGAATCTATGCCAGAAGTCTAAAGGATCCAAAAAGAAGCCAAAGAGTCTATGCTGGAAGCCAGGAGATGACGTCCAAACAGAAGGCGAAGATTAGAGCTCTTCCAAAGAATGGAATCTCATCTGTCCTCTCTCCTTCACTTTTTATACCATCCAGGAGATGAGCCACCCTAGGGTATAGAATTGTTAAACGGATTTAGTGAAGCTTCTGAATGTTACCAACCACTACAATCATCATTAAAAGCTGATGAAAGTAGGTAGGGAAAGGGACAGTGAGTACATAGATTTATGGGGTCACACAGAAAGTGTCAGGTACCACAGATTGCCTAATTACTACAAACAGCAAATATATTCAAATATGAAGAAACTCAGCAGTCACTGACAACCCAGTGATCAAATCTAGTGCCACTACTTTGGGATGACCTGACTTCATTTGCCCCTTGATTTGGTACAGCATGACATAACTGTGTCACATATAATGGAAACTGGTCCAGAATGCTTAATTTATTTATTTATTTTTGCTTACCCCTAATATAACTAAACCTTTTGCACATCTTCCAGGTCACAGGAAATACAGGCACTGAGGAACAAGTAGAATACCATATGACAATAGGGGCATCCAGTGTATGGGACATTCAATAAGGGAAGGAACTTAAATTCTTTAAAAAAAAAAGATATCATTAAACATTGGGGGACTGTCTAAATCAGGATACAAAAAGGTACAACCATCAAATGCAATGAGTATATCTTAAGTGTATCCTGGTTTGGAAAAATAAGGCTTGGAAAAACAGAAGATTTGGGGCAGACATCTGAATATGAACTAATTTATTAGATGATAATTATTCCTAATTTTATCAGGTGTGAAATTATTAAAATAACTTTAATAACTAATTTTGATAATAGTTACTTAGGAAACTGCCTTATGCTTAAATTAAGTATTAAGTATTTAGGGATAAAATATCCTAATGTTTGAACTTACTTTCAAGTGGTTTTGCAAAAATATGTGAAATTTTACCTGGCTACATATCTATGAATATGTGAACACAGAGGAAAGAGCAAATGTTAACAGTTGTTGTGTCTAGGTGGTAGATATATAATTGTTCATTGTACTAGTCTTTCAAGTGTATATATGTATGTGTGTGTGTGTGTGTATATATATATAATTTGTTTTTTTGTACCAGGGATTGAACTCATGACCTCACACTTGCCACGTAGGCGCTTGTGCCACTCAGCTAAACCCCCAGTCCCTAACTTTTCTATATATTTGACATTTTTCAAAGAGGCAAAAGATGGATAAGAGTATTCACAAACTGGCTGGAACACCTTTTAGAACAGTTTTGGGGTGTGTGTGTATGGGAATGTTGGGGAAAAGCAGCCAAGAGTTGAAGGAACTCTAGGAGTCAGGAATAGCTTTACAAGCTCAGTCTCCCAGAGTACTGGAATTACAAGTGTTCACTGTGCCCAGCTTCACCAGTCTTTAACATCCAGAATTAATTGGATTTTTCTGCCTCAAAGCCCTTAAAATACCCTTTTTATCTGAGTATTTCCCACACTCACACTCATGATGCCCCTCGTGACTTACCTTAGAAAAAAATATGAAAACAAGCAAGATAGTGTCTTGCTAAATCACTAAATGGCCCAGACTGAGATCAAATTTGCAGTCCTCCTGCCTCAGCCTCCCAGAGTCCTGGGATTATGGGTGTGTGCCATGGAGTGAGCCCTAGAGTTTTCCCCTTTCAAGATGAGTGACCCATCCTTTGACATGGCTACACATAGCTGTTGTATTGATGTGTCAGCTGCTGAGAGAAAAACAAAACAAAAACAAAACAACTACTTTAATGGAGGCCTGACTACTTGAAGATTCCACTAGGTGGCAGTCAGCATTCAGGCATCTTTTGATTTTCTGCACAAACCACCACCTCCACCACCCGGGTGATGAAGCTTCAGGGAAAACATTGCCAAGCAGTTGAGGGGAGAAGGGGTAAGAAAAACAAACATGAAAACAATGTTTGGATATATGACTTACTAACCCAGAGACTAATAATACAAGGGAACTGCAAGTGGGTTTTTTGTTTTTATTTTTTCTTTGAGACAGGATCTCATTATGCAGTTCAGGCTGGGCTTGAACTCACTGTAGCCCAGGAGTTCTCAGACTTCCAGTGATTCTCCTGCCTCAGCCTCCCGAGTGCTGGGATTACAGATGTGCACCACCACACCCAGCTGCAGGTGGTTTTAATATACACATCTTTATCTGTCCTTGCTGTGATTCTTAAATAGTTCTTGCGAATTTCTTTCTGTTGAAAGCACTGTAGACTATGTGTATGCTGTCTACAACTCTGCTGTTAACTTTAGAACATAAAATAGGAATACGGCTCCTTTATTTGAGACCCAGTATGATTTGTTTGTTTGTTTTGGTCTTTTTGAGACAGGGCCTTGCTATGCAGTTCAGGCTGACCATGGGCTCACTTTGTAGCCCAGGCTGCTCTCAAACTTGCCACAATCTGCTTGCCTCATCTTCCAAAGTGCTGGGATTACAGGAGTGCGCCACCACGCCTGCCGACTCCAGTACATTTAATAGTACTTTTATAGTGACATCCTCATCTCTGTAATTACTGCTTATAAAAGGCTCTTTGTGATCCTGGTAGGGTTTTGTGGGTTGGACTTCCTGGGAGAAGGGCTCTGAGATTTCTGTGTGCAAGGTCTATGGGCGCAAGCCCTTGGGAGGGGTGAGGGGAAAGGGTTGGCTGCTGTACCGTTACTGTGGAGGCCTGAGTTCCATTTCTCTGGAACCTGGGTATCCTATCAGAGACACCCTGACCCTGAAGTCTAGGTTGGGGCTTTATTCTGCCCCTCACTAATGGATCCATCAGGTGATCAGGAGCAAAGAGTAAGTACTTCAGCCAGCGGAGAGCCACTGCTGTGGGAAGAGTGTTCCTCAAATGAGGTGACAGTCTGTACAGTATGCCAGCCACCCCAGCCACTTGTGGTGGGGAAGGAGGCTTTCTATTTTTGGTATCTCTGACACTGCTTGTCTTACAGAAGCT